CGCGGCTCCAGGCTCCATCGCCGACATCGCCCCCCCCTCAGGCCCCTCACCAGACGCAGCCCGCGGCCAGTGGCCTCCGGGCGGAAGCCCACCCCGCCTGTCCCCTGCTTGTCCTTTCTCGAGGCTTTTCCCGTTTCTTCCACTTCCGAGCGTGCCGAAGCCCCCTACCCCAGAGCTCGCCTGTGCTACCTGGATCCGCTTCTTGTGCCGCCTGCGTTCCGCCATGTTGGCCGCTCCGCCCGGTTCCTTCTGACGTGGAGCGAGGAGGGGGCGGCGGAAACCTCGCGATAGTTCGTCTCGAGGTCCGTTATGTAACCGGGCGGGCGCCGAAAGTGGGGGAGGCGGGCGGCCGAGCGCTCCTGCTTGGGAGGCCCTTCGTCCTCCGAGCTGTGCCGTCTGTCTCTTCAGTTGCCGGGGCCGGAGAGTCGCCGGGAGAAGGCCAGAGTCCAGCAGTGGCCCCGAGGAAGGAAGCCTTGGAAGAGTCTTCTGTTCTTGACCCTGACTGAGCGTTTGAATCACCTGGGAAGCCACTAAAGTACAGATTCCCGGGCCCCGCCCCCTTCAGAGTCAGATCCTGTCCCTTGGGTGAGGCGTTGCTCGGAGGGGTTACTGAGACCTACGGAGTCCTAGAAATCCGTACCTGTGGCAGCTCCTGTGACAGCGCCTGTTGGCTCTCACTCCATTTAAATTTCACGAAATTCTTTACAAAGAATGATAAATTCGCGCACACAGGTGCACAGGTGTCGCACACCTCTAGTCCCCGTTCCCAGGAGGCTGAGGCAGGAGGATCACCGCGAGTTCGAGGAGCTAACAGTGAAGGACAGAAGTGCACGCTGACTCATTTAACTGCGCAAAGCTGAGACCTAAACCAAAGATGTAATCCAAGTTAGTGTAAGGGGAAATACGGTCACTTAATCTTTGTATTGTCCATTCTACTGTCCACGTGGCTTCTCAAAACGCAATGTTAGAACCCAGAAGTCAGGGGGAACCCAAGGAAATTACCAGTTAGAGGAATAGGAGAGTCGTTGGGATAAAGAAATTTGCCGGCTGCTTCCAGTCTGGCGAATTACTATGATGATTATTGTTATTTTAGGGTCAACTAGGCCAAAGAGAAGGGGTTTAAGTAGCTCTGAAGTATTAAGATACAAATTTCTGGGCCGGGGATTTAGCTCAGTGGTTCCCCCGCCTGCCTTGCAAGCACAAAGACCTGAGTTCGATCCCCGATACAAAACAACAAACAAACAAACAAAAAAAATTTTCCGTGACTGTATGGAGACTTTAAACCATTTGTAGTTGTAGGAAATAGACAGGAAATCAAGATGAAAGAAATAAGTTGAATTCTACCACTCATCTGTTAAATCATTTTAGTAATTTTTCTTCTTGTATTTATACATATTTTGTGCTTGCTCATGTGTGTTGCCTTTACATTTACAAGTTTTCATGCCCCCCCGACTTGAGATCACATGTAATATGGTAGCCTATATTCTAATTAATGTAATGTTGTAATGTAATATGAAACTTCTTATTTCACAAATTTTCAACTTTTCTGTATCATGAATCTAACCCAATAGTAACTAATGGCAGCATCTTGCTCTCTAATCTTTTTATAAAGGAAGACAGCTAAAGTTCTTTTTTGGATCATGCTATGCCGCTGTTAGAGGAACCATTTATTTCTTTCAATTCCATGAGCTATAATTTGGGTATGTGTAGTCAGCAAAGGGTAAGAAAGAAGTAATGATTAACAATAAACAGTTGATCTATACATGGAAGTACTACTTCACCTAATAGATACTGAGTGCCCAGTAGATACGAAGTGCTAGGCTACGACTATGGTGATCAATGAAAAGTCCTTGTGGACAAAGGTTCCCTCTCAAGCTATTTTGCTACTTTCAGAATAGTTTTAATTTACCCTCCCCATGTTTTCACTGCTGTTTGCTGCTTAGGCAATGACAGTTTGGTTTCTACCTCTTCCACTCACTACTTGTGTAATTCATTGGTTAAATCCAGTTGCTTTCTCAGCTAGCATCTTACAAAGTGTATGGCTGTATTGACTTGTATTCACTTCTTGATTTATTCTGTCTTCAGTATGCCTTTAAGCTCTATCTTCTTTTTTCCTAACAAAGAATGAACTTCCACCCAAAATCTTTAGGAGGCAACAGCCTAATATTTATGAAAAGTGACACCCGTGTTATAGTTATGGTAATAATCAAGTTTTTTATTTTTAAAAAAGTATTAAAAGAGGAAAAATTAAGTGGTAGTGCAAGTCCATGCGGATAGGGCATAATTTATGAAGTAAAATGTAGGTGAAGACATTTTAGACTTGTAAGGGGGAGGTGTGGGACAGAGGCTATTTGGCTGACAGGAACCTGATTACCAATCTATCTTGTGAAACATCCTGCATTGTCATTTGGTTTTAGAATTGTCTTTATTCATTTTAGCCAGATCTCTCCTAAGCAGATGTTGGGGAGAAAGGAATGTGCCAAGAGGTCCTAGACCCAGGTTTGGCTGCCTTCCCTACTTCCCCACCCCTTGTGCTCAGCAGGGTAGGTACACTAAGTGCTGACGTGGTACCGTGGAAAATTCCATACCTGACCTCATCTGATGGGTTACAGTCAAAATACACATGCACTAAAAATGCTGTATAAAATCCAGGCTACGTATAATGGTGTTTTTGAAACCAATATATCTTATCACGTGTGTGCAAATGCTCAAGAGAAAAACCCCAAATCTGAAACACTTCTGGTCCCACACTATTTGGATAAGGGTTTTCCAACCCAACTTATAGCAGCTTTTCCCTTCTGATTTCTTTTTGGCTTTTCTCAAACTAGCTAGTTCTCAAATGTTCCTGGCCACCATACCTTTGAGATAAGAGATTAAGGCGTGGTAAAGCCGGTGGGGAAGTGGACGTGACCTGTCAATTTGTTTGTTTGTTTTCTGGTACTGGGGATCGAACTCAGGTCCTTGCACTTGCAAAGCAGGTACCAGAACCACTGAGCTAAATCCCTGGCCTGTGACCTGTTAATTACAAGGTCCCAGAGCACATGCGCAGATCAGCTACCAAAATCCCTGCACGTGAACTTCTCCTGAGAACTGGAGCAGGCTTGGTATAAGATGCCTAGACCTGACCTTGGCCTGAGGTGTGGGATCTAGCCCCACCTTTTAGAACCCTATGTAGAAGTACTCTCGGGTTTCCTCAGGATTTAGGTAATAGACACAGACGCCAGAAAGGTCTTGTTAGCCTGATTTCTCATGTAGTCCACACTGCATCTTCCAGACTCAGCATGTACTTTTATTTTGCTTTTATCTTCTTTTCCTCTTGTTCTGCCCACGTTTGCTCAGCAGAACTGGTTTCTCTTATACCCCTTTATCCTCCACTAAAAAAACAAAACAAAAAAACCCAACAACTTTTGGTGCTGTTTTTGGCTTGTCTCATCCAATTCTTTGTTCAAGACAAGAAGAACCTAGCATCTAACTCCAGCGGGAGAGGTGAGCTGCCCAGAACCTGGTAGTGTTTAATTGGTGAGTCACTTCCAGAAGCAGGCTACTCAATAACATCTCCATACTCAGCTTCTTCTTTTTCAACTATCTGGGGGAATCTCATGCACACGCTTAATTCCAAAAGACTGCACAAATGTTTATTTCCAGCTTTCTTCTGTATATCTTCACTGGATATTCAAGTAGAAATCACCATTTCCCCAGCAAAACCTGCTCCTTTTACTATATTCTGATAACTATCATAATTCACTCTATTACTCATGCTGGAAACTTTAGAAGCATCCCAGCCTCATCTTTCTACCAATCATGCATCAGTCCTGTTGATTCTATACCTGAATGTTTCAAACTCTTCCCTGCTGCATCATTCCTGTAGCAACTGCCTTCATCGGGTCTTTTATCATCACTTACATGAACAATTACAGTGACAGCTTCCTAATTGTTTTCCTCAACTCTATCCTCTATGTCAGGTCATCTTCAATAGCAGCCTGAATGGTGGCTGTGTTCCCACTTACAAATTAAGTATCAAATTGCTGGGTCTCCTCTTTTAATGCTTATGTAAAAATAGCTCAACTTCTCTTTCCAGCACCCTGTCCATGTCTTTGATGCTGGTAGTGGGGAGTTTCTCTGAGCCACTTCTTGCTTTGGTTTTCCTCCAAATTTGCAATCTCAATTCTATCATTTGACTCTCTTCTCTTCCTCTCTCTCCTTCCCTCCCTCCTTTCCTCCCCGCCCTCAAATGAAGAGCACTGCCTCTTGTCCTTTTGCCAAAGCCAAGCTACTACTCAAAGGAGACCTTACTGTAAACAAGCAGACATATGAATTTTTGAGGAAAAGACAAGAGTTACATTTATTCACTCATTAAACAAATGTTTATTGAAGATTTACTCTGTGCTGGTCCTTGTTTTAGGTACTCGGAAGTATACTGAAGCAAACATCTCTGCCTCATGGAACTTGTATTTCAAGGAGAAAAGAACAATCAGATAAAGGAGGCAAGTTGTATGGTCATTAATAGCCAAAGGGGAGAAAGCAGATAAAGGCACTGCTTGCTGTGGGAAGGAAGGTGAAATTGTAATTTAAGTAAACAGAGCAGGACCGAGGGATTTAGCTCCGTAGTTCCACCACCTGCCTTGCATATGCAAGGACCTGAGTTCGATCCTCAATACAAAAAAAAAAAAAAAA